TTCCAGTCCCATGGAGGCCGGTGCCTATCGATAGGAAATTGGCACACAATTCACCCCTGATTTAATACATGACCGGGCGCCACCCTTTCGCCCAGGGGGCTGGAATTCCGCAGCACTCAACACCACAGTCCATTTTCAAAACACTGAGCGGGCAGGACCCCCCCCTCTTTCTCCCACCATACTTTCTGTTTATACTTTCCCAGTTTTCCACCCACCCAACCACAGACCTTTTCCTTTCCCTGCTGGAAATATCCTGCATTCACGACTCATTTAATAAAATATCAAGGAAAAAAATGTTTAGGTCTGTGGAAAGAACGAGGCAGGCCAAGACGATTTTTTAAAAAATCATTTGTGTGCATGTGTTTTTCTTAATGAAGAAATAGATTAAATTGCACTTTCCCAGTTTTCCACCCACCCAACCACAGACCTTTTCCTTTCCCTGCTGGAAATATCCTGCATTCACGACTCATTTAATAAAATATCAAGGAAAAAAATGTTTAGGTCTGTGGAAAGAACGAGGCAGGCCAAGACGATTTTTTAAAAAATCATTTGTGTGCATGTGTTTTTCTTAATGAAGAAATAGATTAAATTGCTTGGAATCCATGCCGGCATGTTTAGGGTGTGACTCAGCATTTGGCTTCAGGGGCCTCCAAGTTCCAGACAGATACTTGGGTTTTTTTTTATTTATGGCTTACTGGTTTCAGTGAAGGCTGGCCTGGCCGGGCGGCTTTTTTTCCTTCTCCTCGTCCATCCGGGGATGAGCGATGGCTCAAGGCAGAATCTTTGATGGGAGACCTGGGGCGTTCACAAGAGAGAGTCTTGTGACTTGTTTGTCTCGGATCCTTGCTTTTCCACTTAAGGCAACGCACTCGTTGGCCTCTGCGAGAGAGAGAAAAAAAAGGGAAACCTCATGAAACCAGACAGGTCAGCAGAGCCGACGTCGGCGTGGCCCAGAGAGACCTCAAAGGAATGTGGCACTTCTGCCGGGAGTTCCACCTCTTGGTTGCCACCACTGAAAAGACCACGTCTCGAGCAGGCCTTGGAAAGGAGACTCTGTTGACTCACTGACATTCTCCCAGGCGTCCCCAAAAAACAACCCCAAGCTTTGGACTTCTGAGTTTTTTCAGCTCACTCCAGATGAACCGAAGAAACTGTACGGCTAAAGCGCCCACGGTTTTTTTTTTAAAAAGAAAGGCGTCCTTCATGGGAACGGCTGCTAAAAGATAGGCTTCTTCTTTTTTGTAAGGTACCCGTCTCCAATAGAAGGGTGGTCAAGTCCAAGATGGATGTCAAGATCCAGAGCCATAGAGAGAAGGGAAAAGATCGGTGACTCCCCAGGCAGCAGCCCTAGGACATCATCCCCAGGCAGCAGCCCTGGGACATCGGAGCCCCCTGCAGCAACACAACAGCCGAAAGACTCTTCCAGGCTGGAGCGAGAGGCATCGTCCCCCAATTTATGTTCTACCAACCCTTGGTATCAGCCTCTGTAAATCAAAATAGGGCATATTATGCAGATTTTTGTCCTTTGTGGTCCTCTGTTTTGCTGAGGTGCAAACGGCCACCCTCATCTAGAGAACCTTTCCTGTTTTCCCAACCAGTACTCCATGTTGGGTGGATCTGGAAAAAAACACACACACACACCTAAAAGTAAAGCCACCTTGGCAGTGTGAAACTCTCGAATCGGCTACTGCCAGGGCCATATTAACCCACAGCCGAGGCCCTAAGCTTTCAGGGATTTGGGGGCCCCTCCAGCACTTCACCCCACTGCAGTGGACAGCCCGGCCCTGGTGCACGGGCGGTGCCCCCCCCCCGGTCCCTGGTCTTCAGCCGAGGGCACCGAGAAAAGGAGAAGGATCAGGTTTCCCTCTCTTGGATAGCTCAAGGGTTTAGGTATTCTTGCGGTGGAGCCAGAGGTTGGGAGTTCGAATCCCTGCTGTGCCATCATCAGAAGAGCCAGCCTGGGTCGCCTCGGGCAAGCCGCCCGGTCGTCCCAGGTCACCCCCAGCAGAAGGGAAGGGTAAAGAAGAGCCACGAGTCGGAATCAGCTTGAGGGCACGTCATGACGGGGACGATTATATTCCAGAGAGCATCCATAGAAATCACAGAAAAGGGAAGTTGGAAGGGGTCCTGCAAAGGCCATCCAGTCCAGCCCCCCTTCCCGTTCAGTGCAGGAATCCAAATCCGAGCAGATCTTCCAGGGGATGATGATCCACGTTTGAGCCCTCGACACACCTTCCCTTGAGGTCGAGGGTTCCCCGGTGGGGCGTCCTCCTCCTCTCACGGG